CAAGGTTTTAATGCTTTTATGTACAGTAATGGATATTTATTATTTGGGTTACAGTCAACTTAAACTAGAACAACCTGATCACAGGCACAAAATAGAGTTAAAATAATTGTACAGACTCCCAAGGCTACTGAAAATTACACTGAAATCTTTTTTGATCCACAATGAAAATTTGTAAATGAAATTTTGTGTAAGTGTTGAATGATTTGCAAAAAAAAATGTACAAACAAAAAGTTTATTTTTGTGTCCACATAGCTTGTAATCTTTTGACCCCGGTGTAATATTCACTCAACGGAGATTTATACAGGGAAACATTTTGAGCGCTTATACCTATTTTCTCTCCATTTGTGTCGCTATAATTACGTTGTTAGACACTGAGTCACGTAGTAGACAATGTTGGATACAATATTAATGCTATTTAAGGCGGGAAATTAGAATGAATTTGTCTTATTGTCTGCGTAATGTAATTAGGGAGAGTAGTGTATAGGATTATTATAGAACATTGTATTAGTGTTAGAGTAGCAGTTAATTGAAAGTTGTTCTCTTATTCCACACGTTCTTTCATAACTTGCGCTATGAATATGTATACGTTTAAGCTTTTTGTTATTGTTAGCTGTGCTTACTCTTATTACTTTAGACGGATCCATTGACTGTTACCGTGTTTGCATTCTGCATATGTCCGACACAAACTCGTGGGACTTTTAATCTTGACTCGGGTGATATACCTCGCATTACCTCGTCAGGTTGTCTTGTAGAGGGAGGTTATACTCCTAAAGGGACTAGTGCTTAACCCAGTAGACAAGCTTAAGCTTCCATGACATTGCAAAAGGTTGGGAAATAGCTTCTTTATCTAGAATTTCAGGTTGCAAAGAATCAGAACTTCAGGTCATACAACTTTACACAAATAAAGTAATAAATACATCACTTACATAATTTGACTTTTATGGGAAAGAAATATAGGTTTCTCTCTTGTTAAAGCCCCCTCTAATGAAAGACACCTCGCTAATATCGGCATTTTTTTTGTTGATTTTCGTCATTTTTTTCAAAAAAAAGAGAGGGGCAGCTAGAAAATCAGGGGCAGGCGGTGACGCTTAACAAGTAAATTTTTTTATTTGGCCTTACGTTAAAAATCATCAGGTCCTTTCTGCAGCCCCAAGTGAATGCCTATCTTTTTTTTTCAATAATATTTCTGTTCAATTAAAGACCAAAGCTGCTAAAGACTATGAAAACCCTGGTACCAAAAGTGGCCTTTATTTGGAGGGAGACCTGTAAATTTTTATTTTTTTAATTTTTTAAAAATTTTTTTCTAGACTTCATTTTAAATTTTAATATTTTTATTACGTATAATTTAAAAATATACATACACTAACCCATCTTTAATGTGATTGGTTAATTACTGATTCTTTTATTTGATCTTGATTGGTTGACTGTCTTAATTCATGTCTTAAAAATGTAATGAATCATTGTATGACTGAACCCAACTAATGGATTAGAAAAAAGTAATGTCAATTTGATGCCAAATTTCACATTATCTCTATAAAGGCATAGTAGTATCCATGTATTCTTTGTAATAATAGAAATAGAGTTTTGACCTTCCTGACGTGATATCGTACTGAATGCTCAGTACATTCCCAAGTAAATTTAAAAAAAAAAATTGCAAGTGATTCAGGTAGTAATCGAAACATACAAGCTCCAGATAACTAGTCTGGTGTCATAACCATTAGGCCACCGATCTTGCATTTTGTGGCTAGTGTCTGAATCTGGTCCCCAAGTAGCAGCCAGTACTGCAAATGCTATTTCGATGATGTTTTGCGTTAGCAAGTAAGTTTGAATAGGAATGATGTTTTTGCTCTATCTGACGTGTTATCGTACCAGTACTGAACTCTCATTACATTCCCAAATACTTATTGATAATGTTTTAAAATTAGCACATGTGAAGTTTCTTTTTTTCTTCTGTTTTCTGTGGTATTTTTCAACTGATTTATGACTCAGCATTGATACGTGGTTGGACATGTACACACTAATTAGCGGTTTAATGAGTGAGAAATGTCAATGTAGCCCAGGCTGAACAAAGTTATTTCAAGCTGATTAATTTCATACAAGTTTCTGCCAACACTTCAAGTGAAATGATTAAGTATTCCGGTTTTCTGAAAACTCAATTCCTGCAACAGTTTTTTAGCTAAAAGTGGGAAAAATAACTTCCACTTTCTAGTGACTTAGTTTGTAAATAGGAAATTGTTGGGCGTTTGACTGTGTGGTATTCTCTGAATGATTTGTTTACATTTAAATGTTATTATTGTTTGTATTGTTTATTGTTTGTATTATCTTAAATTTGTATTATATTTTTGGATAATTTGGAATTGGAATTTTTTGACATGTGCAACAAAATTTTTTATTATTTCATACCTATCAAACATGTACACCAATTCCCACTCTGTTACCCTATATGTCACTTAAATTACAATATGTCACTTTAAATGACCAATGACATTTCTTTTATGAAGGATTCCCTCTGTATTAATAATACAAAAAAGAAATTCAATTCCAAAGTATAATGTGATAAAAAATTCACAAACTTATGTGAAGAATCTCTGAATGGCAGGTGGAATTCTGAAATAGGAAAGTTTTTTGAGAATTTATATTGGGGTGGGGGGAGGAGAGGGGCAGTGGAGGGTTAAGTTCAGCAAGAGGTTGCATGTGTATCAGCGTTTGTAGCTACCATCTATATTTACCTTGTATGTTCTTTGTTCATTCTGTTTATATTCTAAAATACAGTAAGATATTACAATCATAATCTTTAATAGCTTGATTAAATGGTGATTGAACGGTTGTTCTTTTGGGAGCTCATGCACCGCATGACTAAGTAACTCCGTCTACCTCTCTTGATTAGGATCTTGAGCTTGTACCCACGGGAAAACCTTGATTTTCCTATGGGATTTTGTTGTGTTTGAACATGGATAAAGGAGATGTAAAATTTGTCTACATCACTCAATTTTCTGAGTGGTTTTTTTTTATTGGAATTTCTGACACACACACTGTATATTGACTGATCGATTGACTATTCAGATTCGAATTCAAGAATAACAATCTTCTGTTATAAAAGAAAGAGAAAAAAAGACACTTCAATATTCAATTACTGTACCATATCAACTAGGCCTATAAGCTTTTTTGGGGGGTGGAAATATATTAGTGCTTATTGGAGCAAAAGACACTTTAGAACGTTTTTACACATATTTTCAATAAATATATTTTTATTTTTACTTTGTGTTAAAATTATTTCTTAACTATACCTATATTTGTATTATTTTATTTATTTTGAAATCCAACCAACAGCAAATAAAAGTTGGAATACAAAAATGAAGAATTTTACTATGTAGGTATTTGATATTCACTATATAGAAAAATATCAGAACAATATACCTTTAATTTTTTTATTTTCTTTCAGGTGTTCAGGAAAAAATCATGAAGATAATATGGGTGGTATTGGTAGGCATTGCTCACAACGAAGGCCGAACAAGTCATCGTGTTTAGCAGGCGGTAGAATTGATGTATTCTATGGGCATAAGAAACGTGGTGGTCCAAGTTGTTCGTATAAGCCAGGCCTTGTATCTGGTGTGTTGTGCTGCAAGATAGAAAAAGCTAAAGAAGGTAGGTTTACTGTTACATACATAGATATACAAGTCTCCCTGTAATAAAGACCCCTCCAATTAGGACCTCCTTTCTGCAGGCCAATGTGAATGTCTATTTTAGCTGCTAAAGACCAGGAAAACCCTTGTCCTACAAGTGGTCTTTCAATGGTTGGAGGAAGGCCTGTATTTTTATTCATGAATTTAATTTTTATTTCTTGCTCGAACGGTCGACCACCCGCTGAGTGCTCAGCGCGATTACCCAGTGAAATAAACGGAATATGGTTGGCGTTTTTTGCTCGAACGGGCCCGTAGATATACAAGTCTCCCTGTAAGTAAAGACCCCTCCAATTAAGACCTCCTTTCTGCAGGCCAATGTGAATGTCTATTTTAGCTGCTAAAGACCAGAAAAACCCTTGTCCTACAAGTGGTCGTTCAATGGTTGGAGGAAGGCCTGTATTTTTATTCATGAATTTAATTTTTATTTTATTCATTTAGGTACGTAGGCCAAGGATCACCAATAGGAAACATTAAAAAACAAACAGATTTCTTTGATAGTAATAATAAATTATAATATACCAGTAAAAGTACATTTATATAGTGGATAATGCCAATAACTTTCTGCACTTCATGAAAAGTTAATTACAATAGTATATTATTATTAAAAATATTAAATTAATTACATCAAACTAGCATAACAAAAATACAGAATCAAATGCTGGCGTGTAAAGGAATTTTATGATTAGAGTGGCCTAAAATTACACATTTGGTTAGTCTGTTCATCGGATTATACCATGATTAATAACTTGAAAATTTTGGAAATCAAATTTTAATTTTGCCTTTAGGATTTCACTCTGGTTGTGGACTACATTGTTTAAATTGTTTATCAGTTTTAACTTGTAATCTCTTTGTCCATTCACACTGCCTTGAGGCTTAGTGGATGTGTAGCATTGCAATTTTTTATTAATTCTAATTATTTTGTTCGCAATTCAACGGAAGCTTTACTCTTTCTACGATTAATCTCCGGGTCTAGACTGAAATTGCATGTAAAACGTCATCATTTCTCTTAACGTTGATCATCTCAGTTGTTTAGTGCTTAATTTGAATTTCAGTGATTGTGAATTAATAGAGATTATTTTATTGTTTAGGGCAAGGCCATATTTGATAGGCGAGGTCCCTTGAGACTGGTTCAGTGCTCAGATGTGATAAAATAACCTAATTAGTTATGTGTAATCTTTTTTGCAGAACATCGCAGGAAACTATTTGGTGTGAATCGTTTAATAATAACCTATCAAATCCATGTTGGTCATTAATTACATTACCTTATTAATCCTTCGCTTCATCCCTATGGTGTTGTCCTCGTATTTCCTCTTCCTCATGTAGGCCTATATCGCTGCATATCCATATCCTATTTTCAAATTTTATTGCTCCAAAACTCATTAGCAAATCCTCACTCTTTTAGTTACAAAATATCCCCATCATTTCATTTCAGGCTTTTCATTCTGTCGGTGTGTTCCAGTTGGGAATTCAGACATAAGTAGATTTAGAAACTATCTATTCTTCCTTTTTGCCCACAGTTTATCGAGACATCCTTCCTTTTCGGTGGCATTCAAGGAATCTCATCTGTCTTTAATTGGTTTTGTTTTTAATAGTTTTAATTTTTTATAAACCATATAATTCAGAAGAAAAATCATCAATTTCCTTGAAAAGGGAAGAGATCCTTTCGCAGAGCGATTTAATTCCATTTCATTTTATAAAAAAAAAGCCTTATGCATGCTTCAGTAAAACTTGAAAGACAAGGAAATAAATCATTTAAAAAAAAACATTACGGGCTAAATCTGAAGTCCACATCATGCTCTGAAATTACTTTCTAAGTCCATTATTTCCTTTCAAAAATCTAAATTTGCACCAAACCTTCAGAATGAGACACATGTTTTTAAGAGATAAATAGAACTACTCTGAAATGTGATTTGTTATTTTCCTCTCTGTTTTCAAAGAGGTGATCAGGTAGGTACATATTGTCTAATGGTATTTACGGTTCTTTTCCGACATGTTTCTGTGCTAATGGTTATCTGTCAGTATCCCATGCGAGCTGAAAACTCTTAAGACTGGAGTGCTCTACTTGCCGCAGGGGCGTTCACAATCTCTGTTTATTTATTTATTTATATATTTATTTATTTATTTGCAGATAAATATTGACAGATATCCTATTGATATCAATTGACTTTTTGTATAACATTTTATTCCTGTTTACAGTAACTACTTTTGTAATGCTAGTAATCTTTACCATGGAAGAATACAATAATACTAATTTGAATATGTGGAACATTTAGTTACATCAATTATGCATAAGTTTTCTTGCAACTTCCTTCTCCTTTTGTTTAAATTTACACTCTTTCTGCAATATGGTGTATCAGTTGATTCTCTAAAGGTACATTACTTAAGTATGTCGTAAAATTTGAATTTTTTTTTTTTTTTATCCTCATTTTATAGTATAGTAGGTCTATTTTTTATTTATTTCTTGCAAAATTGTAGATGACGCAACAGAACACCTGGCCCATACTTATAATTGTTTTATCAAGTAGGCAAGAACTGAAGGTTGAACATCAGAACCAATATGTTGTTCCAAATTTAGAATATCACCAAAGATACTAGAAACACAAGATATAACTCTCCACATTTGGAAATACAAAAAATGGGGCGCCGTGTACATCGGGATATAAAAAACATCTTAGTGATAGAGTTCTCATCATTAGCGGAAAGAGAAGGGCACCTTGTATGTGTAAAAGATATGACGTGTATCCGTTTCACTTTGGCTATGCGAGAGTTCTATCTTGAGTTTCTAGTATCTTTGATATCACCTTTTGATGGTTCTTCAGAAAGGTCTGTTTTTGGCAGTGTGTTTTAGGCAGACAAACCAGTGAATTATTCACATGTAGCTCACTCATAGACTCGCACTTGCAAAGTTAAGTTGGATAGGAAGAGACTACTTCCAAATGCAGACAGATTTTAAAATGTAAGCAAAAAAAAAAGGTAAGGGCAATTATTGGTGGTTACTCAGCAAAAATGTCAAGATTTTTTCTCTTTCTGTTGATGACTTTTACCACAAACCCCTGTGAAACCATTGTTGGGTGATGCGTTCTTTCACAACAACCATTGTAAAATGTGAAAAGTGCTTTTTTTTTTTTGTTAATATTTGGATAAAGCTTTAATTTATATGATAGATTTTTATAGGCCTATGAATCAATTTGTACAAACTGAAAATTCAAAGAAAATTTTCAATATTTTGGTACAATACAATTTGGTGTGTTGATAAAATTGAATACAAGACTTTTTAAAAACTTGTTGACAAATTCAATTATATTTTGCAATTCATGAATTACATTATTCTTTTTTGTGATGGTCAGTTTTAATAAATAGAAGAAACTAAGCATGAAATAACAAATTTATAGTATTTTCCTAAATTAGATAGACAGGTCTTTATCAATTCTAAATTACAACTAACAGCATACCATTGTCATCCTTCCCCTTTCAAGAAATATTATTGGCGACAAAAAGTTTCAATTGATTTAAGTTTTCATGTAGTTTTGCAAGTTTTCGTGAGTCAGTTTCTGATTAATCACGAAACCACTGAGTAATAGTGATAAATACAATGACATTGGGCTTTTGCCTTCACCGTTGTTCATAAGTGTACAAATACTGATTACGATATAAAATCTAAACAACGTTTTTCAATTTAAATCATTCAGTCAGCTTACGTAGGCGTTTGGAATGCAAATTAATATGCCATTTGAATGTTCGTTGACTATCGTCTAAATAATCCAAGGCAAAGCCATGAGGATGCACTTGGCTTGGGGTGCTAGTTCTGAACTAAAGAATTGAACTTATGCAGAACATATGATACAGAAGCTTTGTGCATCTGTTATCGAGTTTGATTCAATGATTGTGAAAATCTGTGTATGCGTGGTTGCGAATGAATCAGGAGAGTTCAATAGGTTGAAATCTTGCGAATTTTCCCCGTAGGAAAATGGTACATGTCCTTTTTAGACTACTGCTCTTTAATTTTGTAATATTTATTATTTTTAAAAGGCGATAAATAACATTTTGAGGTACCGATAGGTGTGTGGGGATTCTTTTTCTGTGTCTTGCACTGTTGCAAAAACCTGTTTATACATTCACTGTCTTTGTCGCCTCTTTTTTACAACTTGCACAACATCTAGAAAATATGGAAGTTTGTATCTAAGCTTGGCAAATTCCTACTATAGATTATAATTATGACAGTGTGTGAGGGTGGCCATGTTTGTAAACAAAAATTTAAGACTTCATTTGCCATTTTCAACACGTTGCAGTTTTCTTCAAATACGTATACTCGCGCCATTAACTATAGTATTTCTTGAAATAATTCCATTTAATACTTTTGCAAGATTGATGAGAATAAAAGTGTTAACCTCAATAAAGCGTGCAACCTTGTATGTTGTCGTGAGTAATACAAATTCAATCGTTGAGCCATTTAACAGATGTCTCTTAAAACAGTCAGTGTCACTAAAGTATATGCCTGTTTCATGCTCAGGTCCTATTTCTTGACCCTTTGACCAATTACAATGTCCACTCTCAGGAAATGTTCGTATCTGTGAAGTTCTTGGAAAAACAAAAAGAATTAGAAACGGTGCACGATTGCTGATTTTTGCAGCATTGTGTAATAATGAGCAAATGCTACCACATTCCAAATCACATTTTGAATCACACTCCCAATCTTATTCTTAATCACATTCTAAATCGGATGACATTGTCAATCATGATCACATTCATAATCATAATTTCACACTTTCAATTAAAATCAGTCACATTCTCAATTTCAATAGTAGCTCAGTCGCAATAATTTAAATAACAACACAAAACATAGTCCCTTATTGAATTATACCCACATTTAAAAAAGTTACTAAAATCATAAGGTTGGCTGCCTACTGCCACCCCAGACCTTGCCCATACATGGGTCATGTAGTTCTCAACCTACCAATTAACCCTACATCTAAGAACTATCACCCTAATTGAAGTATAAATGTGAATCAATAACCATATTTACCAATAAATCAGTAAAAAATCTACGAATCAATAAATCAAATCTACGAACAATTCACACGACATCTGCACTACAATGGTTCCACTAGCCTTATGTGTGGTGATTAGTGCGCCCTCTCATGGTAACCCTGAAGTTGCTATACTGCCGATGGTAGAACCACAGATACTAACCACATAATATGTGGACTAAACCAGTGCACTGAATGTAGAGTGACAATATGGATGGAAGCTTTTGAGTAGTCCTGGGCAGTGTAATGATATTCAGTGCCTCTAAACAGTCTAGTCTTGTTCTTTACCACATTGTTACAACTGCTAATTTCCAGACGACTTTAATTCAACCGCTTTTTTCTGCTTTGCCTCACAAAAATCCCCTTTAATTTATTGATCTGTAGGGAAAGTATATTATTATTATCACTGTCAAAAATACCCCCTTCTTATACTTCCCCCTGTCTTAGGGGAGGCAATGGTGAGGGGTCAGGTGCAGTACGTACAAATTTATCAGAAGGAACATCTGTTTGACAAAAAGCTCAACAATAATAGATTACGACAAGCATTGCTTAGAAAAAAAAATGCTCACCGTTTATAAGTGTTAGTTTTATTTTCGCTGAAGTGCTTGAGACCAGCAGCCATCGTATGTCAAATTTAACGATTCCAGACACACAAACATTGACTGATTCACTTAGTCGTTAAGTCAAGTACTGTATACGTATAATTTGTATATAGGTGCTATTTTAGGACGCAGATGATCATATTATTGACAACCAACTATATTTTAGTTTTAAAATCTAATATTAATTTCACGATAAGTTTATTAGTGTTGAATGATGATTAATATGTCAGTTGTGCCTCTATCATATAGGGCCAATCATGCTTATGATTTAGACGATAATAATTATAGCTAATTCAATTGAGTCTGCGCCCTGCAATAGAATTTGTAAAAACACCTTCTAAAATTCAACGCACCAAGCCTAGCGATACAAAAACGCTTTGCCGGCATACTACTATACTACGGTAAATTAAGTTAGATCAAAATATGCAATGAAAGTAGAGGCACAAACCTTGACTCCCTTTGATAGACTTATACACAATCGTAATACATTACTGATGTACAGGAATAAATCACTGTAGCTGCTTTTGTAAATGGAAGAGAAAAATGAAAACAGAAAAAAAAATCAACATTACAACATGTATGGTTTAGGAAAGCACATGGATGGGTTTCAGAAACTGAGATGGGTTTTAAAAAGCTGGTAGGTCTATAATAGGCTTCATCAGCTACTGTACATACATGGGATTTGTGCCCTGAATAATATTCAGTATACATAGTAAGAAGGCTAGGATTGAGGCCTTTCGTTGGCAAATGACAACAAGGTAGATTAACTCGGGCATATACTATATAAAACTTCAGTTTTCTAGTAATATTGATCAAACTGCAACAGAATGCATGCAAGGTTATCACCTATTAAAATCATACTTTACAATGTTCAGTGACGTGGATTGCGAACTAAAGATTTCCAACAACTATAGCAGATTAATGGTGGCTCACATTTAATAAGAACATTAACATGCAAGATAGCCACTTCACTAATACCTCTTTGCTATTAGCAACAGCACAACTGTTAACTCTGTCAAAAAGAACTTCTTGTCTTCCTGTCAAGCCATTTCATGATTCTAATTTTATTTTTTTATTTGATGATTCAAATGTTGCAACCAGGGCAGCCATTTTGGGTTGAAG